GAGTAAAGGATGTGCAGCCGAGTGCTTGCGATGGGTGCTTAGACGAAGCTTACGCCCTCCCTGCTCTGAAATCGGACCGCAGTGCTGTGCCTTGTCGTGTCTTTGCTGCACTGCCAGCCCTTTCCTCTCCACGTCTGCCGGGCTGCTCCTTGGCTCCTTCGGACAGTTCCTGACCAGCAGGCGGCCTCTGGGAGCAAATGGCTTCTCGGGTGATGAAGGAAGAAATCGCGCCACGATTCAAGACGTGTTCAGATGATGGAATGAAGGGTTATAGATTAAAAACAAAGTTTAACATAAAATGCAGCATGCCCACTTCACCAGCCCATTTGCAGTGAGAGGAATAGGACACTATGTCCTCTTTGTGTCTTTATAGGGTCTTTGCCTGTTCATGTGTGTGTAGCTATGTACAGTACTCGTGATGGAGTGGTCGGTTTAGATTGGAGTTGGGGTCCCCAGGAGTTTAACACTGTCACATGGAGAGACGCAATGGGAGACAATAGCTCTTTTAACAGTGAGAACACACCTATTTATAAAGGCATCTGCTTAATAAGAGGAACCGCATTACCCTCTGCTCCCCTTCAGTTTGAGCACTCTGTGTGCGTTTGGAAAATGTTTGTATCACTGGAATAAATATCTGTCGCCCAGCAAACTAAAGGGGATAACCGCTTCAGTTGTGATTAACACCTGCATGTTTATATCCTAAATCATATTGTTGTTTTACACTGTTCATTCACACCGAGGACAAGCACTGTGTTTCAAACTGGCCCCTGCTTTACTCCTTACACATTATTCTACCACATTACAGACAGAGAAACGAATTGCACCTAAGGGAGTTACTTCTGATATTCTAATAAATTACAGCAAAATGTTATGAGCTCCCAAAATTGTTTCGTTTCTTAAAGAGGGACAGCGCACAGCTGACTTAGCTATATGCTGTAGCTCATTTACATCTGTAGTCCCTGCGCAGGACACAACCAAAAAGAAGGAGACAAAAAGAAGGAAAGAAGGAGACATAAAAAAGCATTTCAGGGCATATCATGATAAATAAATAAATAGGACAAATTGTAAAGTGCATGTAAAAAAGGATGAAAAAATCAGAATAAATAATGATTATGTATAAAAAAGTGAATAGCCAGTGACATGATGCTGGTCATTAAAATGGACATCAGAAGATGAATTATTACATGAAAGAAAGAAGGTCGAATAGAAAGTGGATCATGGTGTTTTTCTTTTAAAGACGGTTAAATATAAGTCACTGCATAAGGAAGGATACGGACAAAAGGAGGTCATTCAGTCCATCCCGCCAGTTTGGTAGCTGATCGATTTGAGGATCTCATCTGGCTTTAAGGATGCCAGGGTATCGGCTTCAATATCATGACTGTACACCAAGCATGTGGACAGTTGGACTTGGTAACAGCAGCTTTGGTATTCAACATTGCAGTACTGGCTATAAGGAAATGTGTTTATTGGTTTACTGATTTAAAGTGGGACTAGACCTCCTAAGTAAACTTTTGCAGTTTGCCATGAGAGAGTTAGGTTGCTGTTGTTTCGTTTTCATTTATCCGTCACATTTCTGCTTCAGGTGGTGAATCAACTGAATTGCTTAACACTAGGGTGTTGAATGTTTTTAACTAATACAATTGTGAGTTATCATTTAGTTTCCTAAATTGTGAACCAATACATTTATAAAACAAGTAAGTCATAAAGTCCTGTTTTGAGCTATTTTGTTTTTAAAGAAGAAAAATAATAAAGAAGAAATAATTCTTTAGCAAATGACCAAGCACTTGTCAGCTGCGGTTAAATAGAGCTCTACAGAGTGAAGTCAAAGCCAGGTGTTAACCTCAAGTTAAATACTTAATGACACCATGTGGAGTTTATGATTATGCTGACAGCACATTTTAAGAAACGATCAATGCACTGTTCAAAGTTAAATATTGAGAAATATTGGTCAGGTGCCTAGAGGAAATCCCAATTTTCACTTACAGACAGTGCATAGTTATGAGTTAGTAATCATTAACTTTTCCTGTGGTATAGACGTTTGAATAGGACTTTGTTCGCAATGGGCTGGATTTAAAGTGATTCATTTTTTTTATCTGTACACCACAGGGTTCTGGTATTGCAGATGCATATATAGATATCTGTTTGGGGTCCTTTGAACACTCACATTCTAAAATGCAGTGCTGGAAATGTTGATTTGCATAGGATACTAGCATTTCATTTCTAACGCGTAATGTTCAGAGAAAGTCTTTATGCCTGTCATTTGGGGAAAGGTTTTATCATCTCAGCACACTGTGCGGTCTTGCTTTAGGAGACTGGGGAAAGATTGTCTGAAGTATATAATCAGCTGTGCATCTTCCATTTTCTTTTTCTGTTCAAGGCCTTCAGTTAGGATTGCCCTGCAGGATGTTCAGCACTGATAGAAGCACTACTGCCAGACTAAATCCTCTCTTTGCTAGTGAATGGAAGGATTTGTGCTTCAGTGTGCACATAAAGTCTTTTGTCTTTCCTGGAAGGTAAAGGCTCAAAATCTCATAAATACTCCATTATTAGTTGGAAAACATATGAAACTTGCAAAAGTGTCTTTCCAGAATAACAAAGAGCTACAGTTCTTTTCTTCTTTAAAACATCAAATTGGCATTCAAGCCTAATATCAAGATGATTAGCGGATTCCAAGAGAAAACAGTGCATTCCCAGCTGGGCTAGTTGGAACTGGCCTCTTCTCATTTACATACTTTCTTAGCTCTTGTGGCATAGTAAATGACTCTTGTAGGAAATTCATATTTTGTTATAGAGGAAAGTCAATGATAAAGCTGTGAAAATATATATATATAGCTGTATATATACTCTAAGTTGACCTGTCAGTCCCTTCACTTATCAGCCCTGCCAGGTGGAGGATGTATGGACTCTGCCTTGGCAAGGAACTGGAAGTCCAAAGCATTCAGTTGTTGAACAATGAAAAGATTGTTATTATTGTTGTTGTTTTAGACACTTATCAGCAAATTGTCTGTTTTTAATCTGGTGATACTAGATTCGGATGACTGAGCAATGCTTTGACTGAGTAACGCTGTTAAATGTTGTTTTGTATCGCGATTCCGAACTGCTGCTATATTGTATATAAGTTTATGAGGTCTTGATGTGGAAGACAAATTCTCTTAGGTGTAATAAAGGTTCATTCAAAGGCAACAGTTGGAGTGTTCAGTAATTAAACAATATGAAATTGTAAATATAAATATAAATAATGAAAAATAATAAAATCACTTTGGTGCTTTCCTAACATGACTGTATTACAGGTTAATGCAAGCAAGGGATGAGATGCTATTCCATGAATGGTCAATAAAGCTTAGATTGAATTGAACACATTATGTTTACTTTGCGCTGTTCATCAGCAGAAACAACTCGCCACTCTAATTCTTTGTGCCTACAACGTAAACTCTCTGTACCTCGCAGAGTTTCTTGTGGGTCCAGGAGAGGTTTTTACATGAAGCTTTTTTTAAGTTGCTTTGAAGGGCTTTTGAAAGTTTTTACATAAAGAGATTTTTACACAAACGACTCCGTAAGTTAAGTCTTGCATAACTTAGGGAGGATTTGTGATTGTATTCCTATTTCTTTAGGGTTCTGAAAAAATCTGGAGAGCCCTATATACGCCTCAGACTCTATCTAGATGATGTATCTGCATACATGGTGTATAATATTGGCCTACATTTTGTTCCTGGCACCCATACTTTTTTCTTCCACTATTTTATATTTGTATTGTGGTAAAGTACACTATTTATAGAAAGCTACGTAATGTTTTCTTCTCATAGAAGATGTGTACTGTAACACGTCTAGCAGGTGGAAGAAAATGAGTCAGGACAGCTCTAAATGTGGAAAATATCACTGTGGTGGAGTGGAAATTTAGTATTTCTTAACATGCAATTCTAACGCCACAGTATAATCTCTGGGGAGAAAAAAAAACTTAAATTGTTGGTTGTCTTGCAAATGTAGTTTACCATACCTCCAATTAAATAAAGCATGGTCCTGTCAGAAAGATCTTAAACTACTCTGCAAGAAATTAAACTGTGCATCAACTTGAACTGAGACAGAATCTGCTTTTCTGCCTGCAGTTAGGTCAGAAGGTTAGTTTCTTTTGTACAGGCAACACATGTTGACACCCTTACTGAATTATTCTTGCGGGATTAGTTGAAAGCATAATATCTGGGTTGCAGATCTAAATCTATGATTCTCTTCATGCATACTGCATTGCGGTGTTATTTTTCCATTGTTGTCTGACTAATGATTGGAACTGATTGTAAGGTGTATGGTGCAATAATTAAAATGAGGTAATGCCAAAGGGACAGTTAGCAGACAAAGCTGATCATTAGCTCTTCAAATTAAATAATTATGCATTTGAAGCTGAAAGATATTCTGTCGTTTACAGTATGGTTTAGGAAAGAACACATCTGACAGCTGCCTCTTAACTAATAATCTACCTTGTATATAATATCCATATAGTTAGATGTACTGTGAGTATGTGGGAATGTGTAACAACACGTAGCTGTGAATAACACAGGGAATAGCGTGATTCAAACTTTATTTATTTTAATTAAAACCTAAGCTTTTGTGATAACATTATCTTAAGAGATTCACGATATATACTTACAGTAAGTAAGCAGCCACTGCTGTCCCTGAAGGCTTAGACCAAGACATACAAGCCTGGTCAGACTGAGAAAGACCTGGCTGTAGTACAATGTGTACAGGTCTAGATCTGCTTTAAAGATATGCCCTTCCCTTTCTCCCTATGAACCTAATTCTTTCACGGTTTGGCTTCGTAAGATCATCTTTATAGGGATCTGTTGTTTTTTTTTAAAGAGATTGAATAGCATTAGTAATGATGAACCAAAAACAAGGCCACCTTGACCAGGGTGAATGTAGTCCAGAACTAGAGTAAGGCAGGCATTCTGAGAAACGTCCTGTGTAGTAATTCCCACTGTGGTCCTGGGTTGTTCCCCTCTGTGGTCCAGGTGTTGCTGTGAGGGGCAGAGCTGGATTCCACGTGTTCTCTGAAGATGACCAGCCTGGCCACACAGAGCCTGCTCACCTATGTGGAGGAGGAGAATGTGGTGGCACTCAAGGCCCTGCTGGAGAAGTACAAGGAAGTGGATGAGAGAAACGAGGTAGATGTTGTTTTGAAATCATTACTGTTTCACATACTGGGTTACTGCAGAGTCGGGCTTTCCTTGTCTCTTTTGAAATAATCGTAATTGCTTACACGTATATAGCGCTTTTATGGACCCTCCACTCAAAGCGATTTATAGGTAACAGGGACTCCTCTCCACCTCCACCAGTGTCTGGCCCCTATTGTTTGGCTAGTTAAGTAACTATTCCATTTATATGGGTCTAAAAAAATGGAGCCCACCTACAAATTGTAAAAGGGAACCTAGCTTAACTAGAAAAAATGTTGTGCCTTTTATTTTTAAAGCCCTCTTATAATTGTGCTCCTGATTCTATGAAGCAAGTTGGGCTGAAATTACAAAAACAAAATATTACCAGAGGCTTCCGCGATGAGATGAACTACCAGAGGTGCGTGTTTACAGATTTAGCCCATGGCTAGTCCGGGTGCAGGCTTGTCTGTTAGTGGACAGCCTTTGTGATTCTCCAAGCCCATTGTGTGTTACTGGGACCAGGTAGGCCTTCAGAGGAAAGTCCTTATCCCTCCCATTCTGGCCCAAAGGTTGCCACAATACATCCAGGGTAATTAACAGTTGATATCCAATTATTAACAGTTGATATCCAATTAATATTATTTAGGCGGCAGTTGTCAGCATATTCTGAACTTCTTCAGTGAAATTAGTTTGTTGCAAATCGAAAGTGTGTTCCTGTGTTCCCGGAATGTGGTTCTGTTTTGAATGTTAAGTGACAGCCTGTTGTTCTTCGTCCTGCAGAATGGACAGACTCCATTGATGCTGGCAGCTGAGCAAGGCAACTTAGAGATTGTTCAAGAGCTCTTGAAAAAAGGAGCAAATGTCAACCTGGATGATATCGTAAGTATAACTGCTGTTGTGCGTTTATAGTTTGTTTTCCTAGTTTTAGCCTTCTGCTGTATGATAGGGCCCTTCAGGACCTTTTGTCTTAGTGTAACACATCCAGACCTTCAGGGGCAGTGTCATTTCCTTGAAACTCATGATCTTGAATATGGAACAGTACATCTCAATTTAGTACACAAAAACTCAAAATATGGAAACACTGATCAGTGGATTTAGTACTGTGCTTTTTGTAATGAGACATTAGCAAACAACAGGACCAAGCTGTGACATACAATCTCGTTTCTCCTCTTACTGTGACTTGGTACTGTAAATGTTTTTTTTGTAGATTCTAAACATGTCTTCAGTCATTGCCAGCAATTGTCTTGTTTCTCAACATCACTGCTCAAAGATTCTAGTTGGATTCCTGTTGGAGAAATGAGGGAGCTATGCTCCAAGATTTGTTGTGAGGAGCAAAGATGACAAACAAAAAAATAATACAGTGGTCTTTACCAATTTAAGACACTGGAAGCAGAAACAAACCAGAACCACACATAGGTATAGTGTAACCTGTCTGTCTTAGATTTTCAAAGAATTACAGCAGATGAGCCTTGTGATCACATTTGAAAAAATGCATCCCATCTGTTACACGATAGAATGAAATGCTGCATAGTCCTTGTGATTCCAGTTCCTTAAATTTGCAGCTTTGAAGCAAATTATAGAAATACCATAATGAACAACTATGAGGAGAAATGGTGCACCTTTAATTTTACCTGAGGGCTGAACGTGTCAGAATTTGACAAAACGATGGGTGTATATTACCACAAGCAGGCATTAATCTCCACACACATGCTGTACTCTACTCTCTGAGCAGCACTCTAGGGCGGTCTCGGTTATTGGCTGTTAGGAACAAGTTGAAGGGCTTCACCACTTGCTTCACAGATTGAATTATATAAATGAGCACTTGGTATGACCAGTTGGTATGTAGCACGTTAACCACGTCTGGAAGACTTTTTATGGGTTGAACTCTGCTGTATTGAGTCTGTCATGTAAAAGTCCCGCTGTGCTTCCACAGGACAGCTGGACAGCCCTTATCTGTGCATCAAAGGAAGGCCATACTGAGATTGTGAAAGAGCTGCTGAGCCACAATGCCAACCTGGAACACAGGGATATGGTAAGTGCTGTGTGTACCACAGGCTTGTGAGCCGCTTCACAAACTGTCACTAGAACATGGTGTTTACTTTGTGGACGTACTTGTATATTTAAAGGCTTTTTGGGTTTAAAGGCTTTTTGTCTCCAAACAGTCTTCGTACTTCAGTGATGTAACTTATTTTTCATTCTCATAATTCTTCACATACAACAATTATTTCACACACATTAAACTATTACTCTTAAGTACAGTAGCTCTGGTCAATAATGAAATCATTCTCCAGCTGTAAAAGCACTTGGACTAGTAGTTGTATTAAGTTGTGTCCTCCATAATCATAATATTTATGCATCTCTAAAGTAGATTTACTTAAAGATGAAACACACATTTAAGTAAAAAACAGACATTAGACACACACCTAATCCAAGCAGATTTTAAATGCGAGTGTTGACTATAAATATTTGTAATTGATCTTTGTAATTTGGAATTTGAGTGTAGACTATAAATATTTTTTTATGTCGGTCTACCTCAGCTTCCCTCAAGTACTCTGAATAGTATCCTGATTTACGGGTTTCAAGTGATTTGGTTAAAGTATATTTTGTGTGTAGTTTATTGGTATAACATTTTCAATTAAATTTAAGCTACATTAAAAAATATTCACATCTGTGGTTGACTTCTAAACTGGACAGGTTATTTTAAAATGGGTGTAGTTTTTAACAAAGTAAATATACGTTTAGTGTGTTTTAGCTGATACTGTATGTGAAATGAAGGATAAGAGCCTCGTTCAGTAGTGGAAACAGGCACTGTTCCTGTGTGAGGAAAGCACACTGGACCTTCTTTACAGAATCCCAGCATGTTGATATATGTGTCTCTCTCGTTTCTGAGGTTCTGCACTGGGCAGACAAAATTTATGATGCTGTATTTTTCTTCTTTCAGACCATGCACTCAGAGTTGCCCACAGATTAGTTTGTGCTGTCTTAATGCTTGCTCTTATTAACAAAAAGATTTTTTGAATCCTTGATAATCCTGCTCAAATGTAAGCCAGGAGTGATGTATTTGTGTTTTCTTTCATTTGTATCAGTTAGAAGGTTAGATTTATAGGTAACCGGTCAAAGTTAATTGCACAAGATTTAATGTTCCCCTAGCCCTGTCACCAAAGTCAATTGAAGTTAAATAAAAACAGAAAAGCAGGGTTTAAATTTGTACTTTGCATGTAAGTCCATTTGGTGCCTATGTGTCTGGAGGAGAGTGCTTTCATAATAATGACAGTGACGAAAGTGAAAAACCATATATTTCCCAGTCTTGAATTTCACTTGGCGTTAAGCGTCTTGGTGTCACACAAGGTAAGTGCTGGTTCAAAGCATTAGTCACAATAGGAAATCTGAAGTCACTGTCTGAAATGATGATATTACGTTATATGCAGACAGACCATGTTCGTGAACACGTATGCACTGAATTGGAAGACTGGATGGAGTCTCTATGGCCCGATCATGCAGTTTGAATTCAGTCATTGCACAAGATGCTGTTTTAGTTAATCTGCCTTCATCTGCTGAATCGTGAACATAAATAGAACCTACAATTGAAACTGACACATTTTAAGGTGTTTGCACAGTCACTGACATATAGTAAATGTTGGGAATCTCCACTTCTGCAGCATTTGTTTGTATTTGTAGTAAGTGATGTAAATATTGTTTGTCCTTAAATGCCAATGATATTTCTTCTGGATTTATTGAACTCATCCATCCTGCAAGCAGTGTTGACATTTTTCATAAATGAGAGACGTTATTTTAAAACGTGTAGTTCGATAAACAAAAAACAGTAACTGGCCTTAATAAATTAGTGAAGAACAGTATTGAACATGGTGGGAGGTAGTGTGTATGTGTCTGACTTTATTTCGGGTAGGTTGAAAGGTATGCTAATTCATTCATCCAGCATGCTGTAAATCTTCTGGATTTTAGCATGCAATATGCTGCATAAACTAAGTAATGATATAAGCAATAGTAAGAATTTTTGCAATACTCAATTGTTTTATATATAAAGACAAAGAAAGTACTAAAAAACTTCTGAAGTTTTAAAAAGCCTATTGGACTTCTTTTCATTAAACAATTGTAGTGTGTTTTGGTTTCATAGCAGGATGTGCTGACAT